GTGTATATCAGTATGTAGTGTCTCTACTTTAAAGAGTCCTCTCCTGCTGATGTTCAGGTGTATATCAGTATGTAGTGTCTCTACTTTAAAGAGTCCTCTCCTGCTGATGTCCATGTGTATATCAGTATGTAGCGTCTCTACATGTCTCCATGCTTTAATGTTCAAAAAGCTCTTTATTTTCTCATACTGCCTGTGCTGCAGCACCTCTTTTCACCCTCTGTCTGAAACCAGAGCCCAGTCTGCTCTGATTGGTTAGCTGGCCGGCTCTGTTGTTATTAGTCAACTGCTTAGAGATGTCCCGCCCTATATCACGTACACTATGTTGGAACGCAAGCCAATAGAAGCGTGAATGTTCCATAGCGATGTCACAATGTTTGGGGAGTGTGTGGGAGAGAAACTCCCTTTGGAGGAAACAGGGATTTCAGCCTTTGCAGACCATTTGCATGCACTAAAACCAATAGAGCACACTACAGGAAAGATTAAACCCTAAAGAGTAGGGCCAACAACGAGCTGTCAGTCAAACGTATTCTCTTTGTTTCTTTTCCATTATGTTGCATGATTTAATTCCAATTTGTTTCTGCTGCATTATTCATGCATTCACACACAACTGCAGTTTTGTTATGCCTCTCATGTTTACGTTTCCATTACATTAAAACGATCACTATGCAAGACAAGCATCTACCAGGCCGGTTCTGTTTGTTTTTCCAGATTGTTCTTCCTTATCTCCACCCTGTGTGTGTGTCCGAGCAGCCGTAGAGATGAAGTGCGACTCTGCTATCTGTGTCTTCTTCTTCATCATGAAGCTAGCTGTACTTTCACATTTACTAGATAAAAGCATAAACTTTAACCCTGAATGTATTTTTTATCTGAACTGAAACACAAACTTTAAATGTTTTTTGTGTGTACTTTCCCAGCGATTACATGTCCAAATAAAGTGTCAGCCTATCCTATCACGTCTGACTAAGAAGAACGAAAAACATAATCTAATTTTAATGAGGAGTTCAAACATCATTATTCAAAATCTATCAAGCTTGTTTTTGCATTTGGCAGACTCTCTTTGAGACTCAAATCTATTTTACCAATGCAATCTGCTGAGCAAACAAGAGGATTTAATATTCATAGTGGTTCAAAAAGCAGGCGTTGGAGGATGTGAGCAAAATACATAATGGATATTTGGAATAAAACATTTGTTCTTAGTCTCTTTTAACCCTCACAGGACTCAAGGAGTATTACATTTCTGGTCTCTTATGACATTGGTTTATTTAGTATCATTGTTATATAATATTATAATTCAAGGAGATACTACTTTACTTAGGAATTAGCATATTCCGCCCCTGGAGATTGAAAGTCTGAGTGAGACTGTTTGTTTACCCTTTGACATCCAAATAAGCCTATTATGTTTTTAAATAAAGAAAACAGTTCTGCGGCAGAGAGCTCACCCATAAACACCTTCAGAAAATCACCTCTCCATCTCTTTGCTAATTCACTCCCTGCAGAGCTGAGAATTGGTGTGACAGATTACAGCAAGAGACAAACTCCTTTCCCTGCGTCTCGCCCCGAGACGCCGGATAAACATTTCAATACTCTAACCCCAAATATTGTTTTCATCTGCTGCTTAGTTAAGTCAATTTTCTCAATATGTTAGCGAGTGCAGAACGAAGGAGTGTGAAGGAAAATCCCCAACACACACATCTGTGCCGAGTGCATGCTGTGATGTGGCAGAAAGAGATGAGAAAGAGACAGAGACGCTCCACAGTGAGGGAAATAAGAAGCTTTTTCAATTAACTGATTAGGAATCAAAACAAATATTTGTTGAGTATTATAATATGATGGATGTTTTGCGGCTCATATAATTGATTGCTGTGGAGGAAGGAGTGAAAACATTTGCAAGAAATACGGATCTGTTGCAAACACACGTTTATGATACTTAGACGTTTTGTTCAGCAGTATAATCTCTTAACACCACTTACATTATTTCTGGGGCGTAAATACAATCTCCAGTAGAAACAAGTTAGGCTATATAGGAACTACAGTACGGTCACACATGACTTCACCACCGCTAAGCTAAAGGCGGCTAATGTTTGGCTATAAAGGAACTAGAGCACGTTCACATGACTTCACGTCACCACCGCTAAACTAAAGGCGGCTAATGTTTGGCTATCAAGGAACTACAGCACGGTCACATGACTTCACGTCACCACCGCTAAGCTAAAGGCGGCTAATGTTTGGCTATCAAGGAACTACAGCACGGTCACATGACTTCACGTCACCACCGCTAAGCTAAAGG